TAATATTAATAATAATAATAATAACAATAGTCATTGTAATAACAATAGCAATAATAATCAAATAACATAGTCTTAACTAATACTGATTTACTTTTATCATTTCAACTAAAAACTTATCACAAAGATAATTCCTTAGAGGATGGAGAAACATTGAATTTCATTTTTGATTACTGAACTTCATGTGGAAAAATAAATAAACGAAAAAAGGCATTTCCTCCATTTGAATAAAAAAAAAAAAAAAAAAAAATATTGGAAAAATGTCATGTATCACTACTTTTTATTTACGGTAATAGTCTAAAGTCTTCTGGCTGTTAAGTCCAACTCAATATAAGTACATTAAATACATACACGCAATCTCAGACAATCACAACTTAAATTCTTTTAGAATCAATTTTGAAGTGCAGTACAGACATACAAATTCACTTGGGTCATGTGAACTAGGCAATAATGATAAGTTAAAAATAAAGTTTAATATTTAAACACCATCACTATGATACCTGTTCCACTTGCAGAAAAATAAAATACTGCTTATCAATACCACCATTAAAGATACTATTTCAGAATACCCCTAAAAGACCAAGAATTTCAGTTATCTTTCTCTTCTTGTGCACTGTAATGTTTTAAATTGAACTATTTTTTTCAACTCGGAAAACTTACTCTTTTATGCCTTGATATGTTTAAATGTGAAATATATAATCTCCTTTCAATGCATTCCTTTACACTAAAATGAATACCATGTTCATCAAACAAATATAATTTATATCATAGATACAATCATTAAACTTTAATACATTGGTAAATTTCATTCATCAAAATAATTTATTTGTCATATTTGCACATATTTACATTGTCTTATTCAAGAAAAATAAAATGTTTGTATCCAACATCCACATCATGTGCACAACAACTTACTTTTTTTATTAATCTACCTTACAACAATTACATACTTTCATAGTAGTAAATCTTTATTCTACTCATGTAATGCATTAATGCAAATGTCATTACTAGTAGAACCTGGCATATACAGTTCTTGTAGAAAATGCTTCATCTCTATAAGCATATTGAAACTAACTCATCCTACTTTTTGTTTCATCTATTGACAGAAAGTACCCAAAAATAAAACATGCTATGTAACAATAAGAAATGCAACTACAACAATTCCTGTCCCAGTTTTCTTGTTATAAACTGAAAGCACTTCCTATTAAAATTATATAACCATATTATTTTCATTTCCACTATTCACTTTTTTTTCAAATTACATTAATGTAATTAAGGGGACCGTCCAGGGGGTTGAAAATTTTTGGGTCAAATTGAATTAGCTAGTGTATTGTATAGGTACATGAATGAGGAAACTACCAAACAACTATTAAAGCCCAGCTATCATTAGTTCCCGGGTGGCACACGCAAGACCTGCTAAACACCTGGGGAGGTATCCCGCTAATGAGTGCCCGGATACACCTATGTGGACTTTTGCTTGTTGCAATCGTGCATACGACATTTGATTATGACATTGCACATGGATATGAGTTCGTGAATGCTCAAAAAACACTTTTATACCAATATCAGAAATAAATTATATCAGAGTGATTAATGTCAAAATATTTTGTTAAATATATCTAAAAAAACAAACAAGTTTTGTGTCCTTTTACACATGAAATATGTTTCCATCGAGAATCCCTGGTAATATGTTAAAGCTTACGAAGTGATCTGTATGTATACCGAGTACAAAGCACTAATGTTTCAAAATAGCCGTATAAGTAGGGATTGAAATATTTCCGTTAGACTTCGCTCAACGGTCGGTACATAACAGCATCGGTAAATTTGATTTGAATTGAAATTGGTCATTTCCACTGTGAAGTGCAATTCAATACAAAGGGTACCTAAAAGTCAGATCTTTGAACTTTGGAGATATAGGAAAGATACTAATTATTTCATATTGAAGATGATAGTACACAGTAATACCTGCTCTGAGGGAAAAACTATATAGAATTTTGAACTCTTTGGGTGCGCGGTCTTGGTCTAGAGTTGAAAAAGCTATGGCATCCATTTTGTGTGTTTCCAATAAAAAATATTATGTTTAGACATTACCATTGGTGTTAGGTTCCATAAATACGCAAATAACCAACCACACCTCGGCATCTGCATGATTTTATGCACTTCTTAGTAAAGATAATGGGTGCAAATGAATAATCACCAACTCCACACTCGTTTCTCATTGCAGTCTGTAACCACTGTCAGTTATCAAAGACAATGGTTTGAGAGTAAGAACTAATATATTCTATTCCTTTACATACAAAAGTCGATGTAGGCCTACTAAATGAGGACAATTAATTTTTAAAAACTTTATGTGCATGTTTTCATACACATGATCCTCCTCGAAAATTATGAACACCCAGTGACCATCCCCCCACTTCCTCTCCTTGTGTGGAGCATGGGGAAAATTTAACTACTTCAGTAAATCTCCAATTCCATGTACTAAATTTAAAATTTTACAATTCTC